TGTGAGTTTAAGAATTCGGTGGAAATCTTATCCGTGAAGATTTTTCATGGTGAATGATGTTCTGTCACCAAAATTTAAAAATGTTCCTTCACCAAAAGTTTAAATGTTCGTTTTCATTTCTTCGAATAACTTTACAATGCTTTTTTACTACTAGTACTCGTATGAATAGTTGTACATCCAGAAAGACTGAAACTTCGCATATTCATCAAGAACCGATGACAATAAAATAATTCAATAGTTTTTTTTCAATATCCCATATTTGGAGTGCAGCACCCAAACATACGCTGAAACTTTTGGATTCTGTCCAAAAAAGAGCAATTCGTCTCGTGGGTGATGCCTCGCTCACAAACTCACTTACTTCTCTGGAACACCGTAGAAAAGTTGGAGATCTGGCTCTATTTTATAGATATTTTCATGGATGATGCTCTTCTAAAATATCAACAATTGTTCCTCAAATTTTGAATTGACTCGGCCGTTACTTGATGGAAATCCATGATAAATGTAAAAACTTCACAAACGATAAGATTTCCACAAAATTTATTAAACACACGACATGTTTCGCTAACACAGTATATAGCTTCGTCAGGTGATATACTGGTACAATGAACTAAACTAACGTTGGCTTGCTTAACTTTTATATATCTTACCTTCCCAAACTGAAGGATTAGTTACCTGTGGACAGGTACGATAAACCTTCATTTTCGGAAATTATGCACAATATCTACATTAAATTACGGTATACCGGATTAACTTGAAAGAGTTGATATCAAATACATATCATTACTTACTAAGAAAACAAATTCAACAGTGGTGAACTATTAAGGTCTAATTGATCATTAAGTAAAATGTCAAAATTTTTGAGTTTGTTGATTTCTAATGATTCAAAATGATTGAGTTTCAGTCCTTTATTTTCTATGTGCAGAATTTCAAAATTATCATCAGAACTATGGTTTTCTTCTAATATATGGTTGACGTATGTTGAATTTGTTTTCTTTTTCATAAAATTCATCTTATGTTCATGAATGCGCTGATTAAACGTACGACCTGTATGACCGATATATACCTTAGGACAAGATCCACATTTGAGTTTGTATACCCCTGATTTTTCGAATTTAGAAGTTTTGTCTTTATTATTCTTGATAAAGAGTCCCAACGTGTTATTTGTTCTATATGCCACTTTTAAGTCCTGTTTATGTAGAAATGAAGCTAATTTCTCAGTTGATGATCCGAAATAGGTTAAAGTTCTATAATTTTGATTATTATTCTTGATGGTAGGATAAACTTCTTGAATAGCTTTATGATGAAGTTTTCGTGGGAACCAGAACATAAAAAAAAGATCTTCGACATGAGTGATGTTTTTTCTTGAATAAAATGGTGAATGATTTACCGCCACCAACATTTCCGAATGTTCCTTCACGAAAATTTCAATGGTTCGTTTTTATTCCTTCGGATAACTTTACAATGCTTTGTTTATCCAGAGACACGACAGTGTCTTACATCAAGTACTCATATGAATAGTTACATCCAGATAGACTGGTGATTGTGACTCACTTCAAAACGACGAATCAAGTTGAAACTTCGCATACTTATCAAGAACCGATGACAATAACATAACTTAATAGTTTTGTTTCATTATCCTCATCAATATCTTCAGGATGAGCAATTTTACGGCAGTGTCTTGCACCAAGTACTCGTGTAAAATGAAGTTTCCGGAAAGGGAGCCTGATAAACGGCAAATTGACCACTTTCACTTCACTGCGGGACGGTAGTTACAAAAATATAAAAAATACCCTTTTTTAGTTAGCCAAACTGAAAAATAGAAAATAAATTGTAGTGCAAAAACTGAAGAGACAGTTTTATAGATAGCTAAACAAGAGAAAAGTAGAAAATAAAATAATAAAAGTGTGTTGATAATTAAACAACAAAGCAACCCCGTAATCAGTATTTTCTATAATACTGACGTCAATAGCTGTGGTATGGTGAAAACGCACATTATTTCAAAAAATTAAGAAAGATGTTCATAAATTAAGTGATTGTAGAATGCCACTGAACTTACCGAAACAAATCTAATCGTATCAAAAGTGATCTCCTATTTCCTAATAAAAATAAACCCACTGAATTTAAACAAAATCGGAATGAAAGTTTTTTTTTTTAACTTTCGGCATCGACATGCTGTATAACGAAATATGGCATAAAGAAGTTTGGAAGATGAACATTGAAACACCCTATCTATTTACTATCATTGAAAACTTCCACAAGATAGATGTCTTCCAAAAATTCGTCACTCTGAGCAGAGTTCTGGGCGAAAGAAAACGTTCTTTTGTTCCAATACCTATCCCGTTATTCTTTTGTTTCTCCATGCATAATAATATATATAGCACGATGATGGCGAAGCGTTGGCCAATCAGACGCCAGCTCGACAGTGTATTGTTTGTCGACGACATCCTATAGGGACCCCATTCCGTCTTTTGTTATATCCTCTCCGGATTATTCCGTAGCTTTTTAATTTTATTTTAATGCGGCCCCCTACTCTCCCCTTAGGGGGCCATAGGGACCCCGCTGAATGGAGTGTGTTTCGTTCGATGAAACATGGTTCCGCGGGTGCGGCACAAAAATTGCGAAGTGTATACGAGTACGACCGTACGGACAATACGCGAAAAAATATATTTTTCTGTGATGGGAAATGAGTTTAATATTTCATCTCAGTTGATAGGTTGTAAAATGTCACTTTTCATTAATTACTATTTTTCCACGACGCGTAGCGGAGGAAGACAACAAACTACTACTTTTTTTCCTTGTATTGTTTAGTTTAGTTTATTTAACAACGTTAAGTACAAGAAAATACATTTGTTGTAAGTCATGAACATTACATCTAGTGCGGGTAATGTATGGTTATGAACATAAATACATATAATCAGGTAATAAATCAATATAGCACATACCAAAAAAAAAATAGTTTTGTCAAACAAAACTACAAAAAAGTTAAAATTGAATAATAAATAACTCACATCCGAACAGGAAATTACATGCAAGGTACAAAACGACACTATTCTAGACCTACACTGAGCTAAAGCTAAAATCAGTATATGAATGCACATATAAGATCAGATAATATACAAAAACTACATAAAATATTAAAATAAACATATGAAAATATTGAAACATGAAGTTCAGGGAAGATATAGCAGCAATTTTTGGAACTATTCGACTAATATAGTTTATCAGGAGATAATTTCTGAATTTTGTATCTATTATTTGCAATATGATGTATAAATATCACTGATTGCATGCTTCTTCTATCACTCATCAATGTCTGGAATTTGAAGCTAGCTAGCTATAACATAGCAAACATAGATATATTAAAGAACGTTTTTGGATTTTCTGCATCAAGATATCTTCATTACATGCAGCTTGTTTGAGGTGACCATATATTATGACAGATGCATACTCAAGGTGTATTATACAGTGTGTCCCACTTACCATGCTCACCATGGGTATCTTTTTAACGGTGAGAGATACGAGGTCGTTTTTGTTCTATACGCAAAAAACAGATTTTGATCATTTTCATGTCTCCTCCGTAACTTCTTTATTTATGAAAATATTCAAATAGGAATTTCACATTCTCATGGCAGTTTTTCAAAGTGATTTCGAAAAAAATATGAAATGTATACCAACTCTTCTAGAATTTGAGATATCAGCACCAACTTTAGTTTTTCAAATGTGTTCGATAATTTCTTTGCTCGAAAAAGTAGATAGTTTTGTATGTTATGAGAGAAAAAAAAATCGTCGTATATAGGAATACAAAAGTAGGTACAGCGGTGGGGTGGACATAAGAATTTTCGATAAATATCAGCACATTTAACGCCCTGTATCTCACAAACAAAGCATTTTATGACCTATGTTCACTCGCCCTATCTCCTCTCGAAGTGCGTCCTATATATTATGAAACACCCTGTACAACCTATATACCAATACTTTTACCACCTTAGTACACATTCAAAAATATGCAGAGATAGGTAGTATCTACCAAAGCTATCCATATCTACCGAATTTTCCTACCAAGATACGCGCTTGTCTATAGTCTAGGAAGTTCACAATCTGACAATACAAGGAAAAACAACAAATAGTGTTATCTATTTGTCCCTAATATTATGACTAATTTACCAATAATTGACATTATCCAGACACTTTTAATAATGAAATAAGTATATCAATTACTACAATCTGCTCCTCTGATATCTATATAGAAATAATACACGCCATACAATTTATCAGAAGTCATTCTGACCTTTGAGACGATCATCTCTGATTTATCAAGGGTATTACCTCAAAAAACATAGGCGTTTCAAATCAAACATACTAGAAAATGCATAATACCTTGGTTGCAACATCATTTTATACGATTTTATACACTGAGTAGAAAAATGTAGGGTGATGGAGTGAAACCAAAAAAGGAATGTTGAAAAAAGATGAGGCTTAAATGTACTTTTAATTTCAACTTGATAACGTGACTCCTCGCGTGACTCTTACACTCCACAGGGTATTACAAATTACATGAAAAAAAAACGCTTCAATAGCTACAATCGGTATACATAAAAAGAGGTTCTTATGCGAATACAGTTTGCACACCAATGTTCTGAAGGAAATAACCTGTCTTTCAAAACCAGAAACGTCCAAATCGGACGAAGTAGTTTTGACGAAAATGTGTCCTAAACTTTCGGCAACTATTTGGTGGTACATTAATTTCTTGGAGAAGTGTATATACTTATTATGTAAATTTCGTTTCTCTAAGGATGTAGGCAAACAGAGACTCATATCATGATCAGAATGAAAAAGTATAGTTTTTAAAATACAAGAAACGTCGCCAAATTGAAACGAAATTTTATATCTTATCTAGCCCTAAAATGAAACCTTGTGCATGCATGAGTACGCCCATGTCCTTGAACTGATAATCCATTTTTAATTTCTGATCCGATTCATGACCAACCAAAATGTTGGACTTTACTTACAGAGTGAACATGGCATGGTTGAATAATGGTTAAAGAGATTCAGTAACCGTCTCAGGCCGTCTTTTCCTGCGAGTTTTTCAACATGCCCAAAGAAATATGTCGTATACAATATGTGTCGGTGTTAGATTCTATCAAAATACACGTTCTCTCGTTCGTGTTCGGCATTTGGGTGATATTCAAAAAACTGGCGAAATGGTTCTGGGACCCCAAGAAAACAAATAGTGGACTGCAACGCGATAACCCTCCTAGCTGCCTTGTTGATACGTCCTTGGGTCAACATAAATATGTTAAATTGAAGGTCAGTTACTTATCTCTGCATAATAATATAAAAGTTTTGATCGCAACTACCTACAATTTGCCTACTTTTTCTAATGTCAAATGGCTGAATGTGTGAATGTGAATGTAATATATGAAGCTGAAGGTCATTACATTAGGTCCGGTCATTTATTATTAGGGTTATGTTTTGAGTGCAATAGTATAGTGTACCATCATTTTAATTCGTGAATATCTTTCAGGGAATCAAATTCCACTACGTGGAATCCGGTCCGAAGGACCAACCACTGATTCTGCTCCTCCATGGCTTCCCAGACTTTTGGCTGAGCTGGAGATACCAAATCCCAGTCCTGTCCCAACATTTCAGAGTGGTTGCTCTGGATCTGAAAGGATTTGGAGATTCGGACAAGCCTGTCTGGAGAACAAGTTACAAAATAGATAAGATCCTGAAGGAAATCGAGGACTTCGTTCATGCGCTTGGGGTGTTTGAATGTACCATTATGGGGCATGATCTTGGAGCTCTAATCGGATGGTATTTAGTGCACCATAATCCTTCGTTAGTGAAGAAGTTTTTTGCAATAGCCTGTCCACATCCGAACGTCTACTGGCAAAATCTTACTAGTACCAGGAGCTACCAATGGCTAAACTTTGTACAGGCAAGTATACATCAGCACAAGCTCTAAAACAAGCCGTGGTGAGATAAATGCAACACCGCATCGCCGTGATCCGGAACGTTTTTCCCTTGTATAATAAATAACTATTTATTTTGAACAACTAAACATTTCTGACGTCTTTCATCAGGATTTGTTTTTATTGAGGTATTAGGTTTAGAAAGATAAATAAATAAAGTTAATTTGATAAAATAGAGGGTACTGCTGTTGTAACTAACTGTACATGGGTTTCTTAGCAATTTTTTTCAAATTGATCCGTCTGTTTCAACGAAATGAATTGCACGCACTGGAATGTTGAGATGGGGACCAATTTTCACGAGTTATCGAAGTAATCCACTTTTTCGCAGTTCTTCATTTTAGGAAATATAAAATAGTATATTGTGCAACAAGTGGGAAAAGTTCAACTTTTCTCACGAGTGTGGAAGTTTGTGGCACGAGCCTGAAAGGCGAGTGCCGCAAACACACGAGTGAGGAAAGTACTTTTCCCCACATGTTGCACACTATACTTTTTCTACGACTGCACATATTCAAAGAACAATGTAACTCAATTTTTATTTTTTATGGGTTATAGCAGAACTAAAATAACATAACATAATAACAAGTTTCCTACCTCTTAACAGTTGAATTATTCATTTGAAATTATAGTTAATTGTGAAATTCTTACAATTTTGTATGGTCAAACCAGGAAAGTCATTGTTTTTGAGTAAATTTTCTGTTATATTAATTGTAGAAGTAGAAGTTGAAGGTTGATTATTTATGTACAGTGGTGCATTTTCTGTCTCCATTTCAGTGAATAGTTCTACTGGTTTTTCAATAGAGTCGACGATTTTATTTGCAACGTCCATTTTATTTTTAATAGAGTCTCCGACGTATCCTTCTGCCACGGTACTGGATTGCCATCCTCCATGGCGCTTTAAGGTTAATATGTCACCTCCTGCATTTACTAAAATTGTTGCCGAAGAACGTCTGAAGCAGTGTCCTGTATATAAATGGGGATTTTCCAATTTTAAAAAAATTGCAATTCTCTTTGCCATACTACCAAATTTGTTGATGCCGACTACTTGTCTAGTACATTTTCCGTTCTGGTAATTCAAGAAGAAACGTTTTTCTGCCAAATCATTCGGTCGAAGAGCGGCATATTTTTTATATATATTATAAAATTCCCCCGTTACAGTGAAAGTTCTTGGCTTCTTTGTTTTGGTGTTATCTAATTTCACCAACAAAGCCGAATTTAGATCCTCTAAATCATCGACTTTTAATTTCCACAGTTCATCTCTACGACATGCCCCTGCTACGCCAATAGCCACTGCAACCTACAAATAAAAATATCAGGATGTAAAATCATTTATATAATTAAAAAAATATATCATCCCTGGCCGGGTATTGAACCCCGGGCCGCTAGTATCCTAAGCGGAAGCACTACCACTACACCACGGAGTAGTTATTAAAATATTTATTCATAGGCATATACTCATCTTCCACAATATGAAATTGACTTTTTGAAGATTATCTAATTATTTTTACCTACTGAATACACCCACTAACTATAAAAAGCTGTTAATTCGAGGAAAAAAGCGGAAGAAATTCGAAAAATAGTTCAATTTAAATAATAAACCCACCTTTATTAGTAGATATTCCTTGTTTGGAGCTTCTTTTAAAAATCTCTGCAATTGGTCGGCTGTTAATATGTTTGATTTCTTTGGGAAGTAATTGTCAGACTTTCTTTTCAAAAATGCACGTAATTTTTGATACGTGGATATATCAATGTTATGTTTAATACTGATGGTACTTTTCAACATCGAATATTGTGACCAAAGTGTTGACGCCTTCAAAGTTTTCGACATTTCTTCGAAGTATACCAAAAGTACACTTTCCGAAAACGATTTTATTTTCGTATTTCTTCTCCATTCCATGAATTTCCCATATGCCAATTCATACTTCTTTCGGGAAATTTCCGGCAACAAATCTAATGTTACTTTTGCCGCTTGTTCCAATATTTCTGGTGGAGTATTGTCAAAATCGTCACTGCTTTCATAAGTTTCCATATTATTTACCTATCACTGGTACAAATATGTATATTATGTCTTACTAATATTCAATGAAATTGCGATTTTTTATCGAAACACGATTGATAACTACCTCAAAAATTGAAATAAATTCTGTTGACAGTTGTTCGTGACAACAGCGGCCAACTAAGTTTTTGTCGATTTTAGTTGATTCTCCATATAAAAGGTACCTACTATGCGTGGTGTTGGCAAAGTGCTGTGAGAAATAATATTTCTCACAGGTATGAGCAATTCGTGGTTTTGAAATTGAGTAAGCCATGAGAATTACGCTACTTTTCATAGCAGTCGTAGAAAATAGTTATTTATTATACAAGGGAAAAAAGTAGTAGATTTTAGCTCCAGGTTGTGTTGTCTCCCGACGCGTAGCGGAGAGAGACAAAAAACCGTGAGCTAAAATCTAATATTTTTCCCGTGTATAATACACAATTTTTTTCTGTGACAGAAGGAAGGACGAATCAATATTGATAAGATATTACATTATTTCGAAATGTGAAAATTATCGACGTGAAATTTCTAGTTTTTAATAGTAGGGACACCTGCGTTTTATAGACATCTTTATCATTCTTTTGAAGTAATCAAATATCTGATGTCACTTCTGTCAGTTCAGTTCTGTGATTTGATTTCAAAAAATTGCGAATTCAGTAGTTGTTTAGTAATATACGAAACCGCGAAGTCGAATGGAAGATAAAAGGACTTGCAGTTCTTTCTCGGAGACGGTATTATTGACTCATTTTTCGGAACTATAGCACAACAAAAGCCATTAACAGAGTATATATATGTGATATATATCCGGGAAAGAAGTACTCACTTTTTTCCCACGGGAAAAAAGTAATTTATGAAAAGTGACATTTTATAACCTGCCAACAGAGATGAAATGCCAAACTTTTTTCCCGTCACAGAAAAAACATATTTTTTTTCCGATGCGTAATCTGACTTATCCTGTCACACAGCAATCATTTGGCATCTCCTTACGAGAAAGGTTGACATGATTTACTATGATTCTAGAAATAAGACAACAAAGAACATAACCTCAATATTCAAGAACAATTTTTGATGAGACTTTCACGCACACAAATACCCTTTCACTTATAACTCGATCACTAGAATATTCCTTACACTTTTCACTGGCTTTCAACAATATTTCACATTGATAACACATCAAATTCACTCTTTGGAGGTAGACCTTCTGAACAGTGTTGCCAGACTGGGCCATAGAAATAATAATAAACACGCTCATCGCGGCATTCCTCTTTAAAGATTTCTATGACATCAGGCATTCCTGGCTCATGATACCCTTGCATGAAACATAAATGTCGGCGATTTTTTTGTTTTCTTTTCTTATGTTCATCAATTTTTATAGGTTCCCTACCTGCCAGAAATAGACGCTTTGAAAGAAGACGTAAAAATCATCAACCAGTACCACAAACATCTTCCAGCCAATGACATTTATCTTGAAGCATACAAATACACATATTCAAGGCAAGAAGATTGGACTGGGCCAATAAACTATTATAGGAATCTACCTTTCCTGAAAATTAATGAAGAATCCGAGAACGTTCCAACACCTGTCATTCTGATAACGGGAAACAAAGATAAGCTTGTGAAACTAGAAGGCATTGTGAAGTCAACAGAGTTTTGTGAAAGGTTTTATATGAAAATCATAGATGGCTGTGAGCATTTTCCTCATCAAGAAGACCCCAAGTCGTTTAATAAGGTTTTGATGAAATATTTGATGCCGAAAAAATCATCCGAATCTCTTGATAGGACTATAGAAAAATCTCCTTCTAAAAGACTGGTCCAAGGAATACTTGGTGCTGTTAGTACTACGATGAAATACGGAAATAATGTTATAGATAACGTTCAAAAAAGGACCAATGAAGTAGTAGGAAACATACCCACTATGGGTATGCTACCGAGTTATATTCATCCTAATTCGTAAAAATTGAATATAAATTTAAAATCGATGGTGAATGACGTTATAGTCGTTTATCTATTTGAAAAGCGCACTCAACTTTTGAAATAAAGTATGGTGCATTCTCAAGAAGAAGATATGTCTGAAATGAACATATTAATCGTTTTTCGTCTGATGATATTCCAGGTATCCAAGGCCTAAGCCTCAAGCCCATATTCTCGTTTTCTAAGAATCGAATGT